TGCTGTGAGCTATGATGTCACAGCACTCTACCGAGGGCAACAAAGTGACTCTGTCTAAATAAATAAATACCATCAACCTGCTGAAAACCCAAAATTATATCTTCATCCCACACTTCTATTGTGAGCCAGAACCCTAAAAGCCCTCTCCAAGTGCTTTTCTTCCTTACTCACCACACCTTATCCATCAGAAGTTCTATCCATCCTGATCTCACAATCCAACCCCATCCTTCCTTTACCTTTCCCACCAAGTCCTCAAGGACCTGAGGTGCATGCAGCTTCCGATAGACCTGAGCCCTGACTCTGCTGTGAGAAAAAGTAACTCCCTGCATTTTGCCTTAGGAAGAGTTTTCAAGATGATCCATCTAGAATAGTATTGCTGGTACCCTGAGTCACCACCTGGATTTCCAGAGTAGCCCACCCCAAAATCAGCCTGCAATCACTATTCATTTCTCCACCCTTCCTTGCTCTCTTATAGTTCAGACCTCCATCTTCTAGCTGCAAGCTAAGGTTACTGTCACGCTCCACTTTCAGCATCCTACCCTTACTGCCTACAGATCCTCTGGCCAGATCGTCCCTGAGCCCCGCCTCCCAAGTGCCTCGGCTTGTCGCAGGGCGCCCCCTCGTGGCCCAAAAGTAAAAGCGCAGTCTGGCTGCACTCACCTGGGCTGGATTTCTTCCTGGCCCTGGCGGCGTCTGTGGCTCAGTGAGTAGGGCGCCAGCCCCATATACCCAGGGTGGTGGGCCGGGCGTCGTGGCGGGCGCCTGTAGTCCCAGCTACTTGCGAGGCTGAGGCAAGAGAATCGCCTAAGCCCAAGAGCTGGAAGTTGCTGTGAGCTGTGACGCCACAACACTCTACCGAGGGCGACGGAGTGAGATTCTGTCTCTAAAAAAAAAAAAAATCCTTTGGCTCCCTTGGAATCCAGAAGTAAGGTCAAGGTGGCGTCTCCCATTCCTAGCACCACCTTTCAGACTTTAGTTTGCAGCTAAATGTAGCAATGATGCTACATTGAAGTGCTCCACCCTTTACTCAGACTAAGATCAGAGGGGAGCTGGACTGATATCCTCCCTAACAGGAGAGCGCCACAGATGGATGCACCTCCCACTCATTCGGACTGCCAAATCGCCACCCAGTTTCTCTCTCCTGCCAGGAGAGCAGAGGGTCTGTTCAAAGAGGCCTGAATTACCTCTGGACAAGAAAGCTGTGTTCCTTCCTCCCTACCAGCTGAATAGACCTAACCCCACACAACACACATATTGACAACCTTCACTTCTCCCCACACCTCACCTCTGGGAGGCAGAAATGCCTTCTACCTAGGAGGTCAATTAACTGCTGTAAATCATTCGGAAACTAAGAGCTGCAGAGAGAAGAAACCCCAGGTGGCTGAAACGGAGGAGACCAAACAGAACTTTTCTGGAAGCCCCCTTGGCCTATGGCTCACTGTACTTCTCATTCAACAATCACGGTTTTCTTAAATTGAGGTAGATTTCACATAAGTTAAAAATCACCCTTTTGGCTCGGCGCCTGTGGCTCAAGTGGCTAAGGCGCCAGCCACATACACCTAAGGTGGCGGGTTCATATCCAGCCCCTGCTGCCAAACAACAATGACGGCTGCAACCAAAAAATAGCCGGGCATTGTGGCGGGCGCCTCTGGTCCCAGCTACTTGGGAGGCTGAGGCAGGAGACTCACTTGAGCCCAGGAGTTGGCGGTTGCTGTGAGCTGTGATGCCACAGCTCTCTACCCAGGGGGACAGCTTGAGGCTCTGTCTCAAAAAAACAACATTTCACCCTTTTAACCATACTACAATATGCAGTTCACCAAATTGTAGTACATTCACAATATCAGGCAACACTCATCACCATTTCCTGATTACAGAGTTCTTTCCACCTCTATGGATTTGCCTTTATGGCCATTTTATATAAATGAAATTATATAGTATGTGACATTTTACATCTTGCTTATTTAATTCAGCATAATATTTTCAAGGTCATCCATGCCATGGCATGTATCAGTACTTCATTCCTTTCTCTATCTGAATAATATTCCATTATATGATTATATATAATATTCTCTACCACATTATCCTGCACCAGACTTATCCACTCATCAGTTGACAGACATTTGAGTTGTTTCCACTTTTTAGCTATTATGAATAATAAAGCTGTGACGTTTATAATTTCCAAAACTTTTTGCTGGTTCTCAGATTACACCTTCTATATGGATTCTCTTTTAAAGCCATGGGGTCATTTGTCTTCTTTTTATCATTACATGAATATGAACTCAAAGTTGTCTTCAACTCCCAAAGCTTCCTCTTTCCTGTGAATCTCTTTTTTTTTTTCCAGTTGCAGTTTGGCTGAGCCAGGTTCAAAGCCACCACCCTCCTGTGAGTCTCTTTTTTACAACTGTTTTTATCTCTCTCTTTCATGTTGGCAGATTTTTTTTTCTTTTTGTTTTTTTCATGTTGGCAGATTATGTCAAAAAGCCTATACTTCTAGGCTGTCCAATACTACTGGACACTGATAAATTATAAAATTGAATCAGATGAACTTGTCATCCACCAGGCTTCATGGTACCGTTTTCACTGGTTACATTTGTCTTAGTCCACTGAAGCTGCTCTAACAGAATACCATAAATGGGGCGGCTTACAAACAACAGAAATGTATTTCTCACAATTCTAGAGGCTGAGAACTCCAAGACCAAGGTGCTAGAAGATTGCATGTGTGGTGAGGGCCCACTTCCTGGTTCATAGACAGCCACCTGCACGCTGTGTCCTCCCATGGTAGCAGGGGTGGGCAGCTCTCTCAAGTCTTTTATAAAGGCACTAATCCCTTTCATGAGGCCTCTACCAAAGGCCTCGCCTCCTAATACTATCACTTTGGGGGTTGGAATTTCAACATATGATTTTGAAGGAGACATGTTCAGTTCATTGAATGCTTATTTGTCAGTATCTGAAAATTCTTTTGCAGGGGCTGGAAAGGAGAACACTTCATTTTTCCAGAGAAGGACTGTGAATATTATGAAACATATATTAATACTTGGTATTGACCCTGTCTCCTGGCATACAACACCTTAAATCCTCAGAATCTCCAAAGAGGTGCCTTCTTGTATGCTAAAGTATGTTTTATGCTGATGGTGGCTGCAACTCCAAGTAGCTTCAGGATGAGGGATGGTCATCCCAAAGGCCAAGGCAGGATTAGACATCTGGGACTTTCAGCCTCAATTTCACCCTCCAGAGCAGCGGTTCTCAACCTGTGGGTCAAGACCCACAAGAACTGTAATAAAGGGCTGTGGCATTAGGAAGGTTGAGAACCACTGCTCCAGAGAGAGGAGAGGGGCTGAGGTTTGAGTTGGTCACCAATGGCTGTGTAATCAATTGTGCCTGTGTAATGGAGTTCCCATAAAAACCCAAATAGGCTGGGTTCAGAGAGCATGTGGATAGCCAAACACTTGGGGGCTTTCAGGAAGGCGAACAAGAGCACACCTATGTGCCAGGAGCATGGCACACCACACCCCACAGCGCAGAAGCTCCTGAATGGGACCCTTCTTGGTGTTAACCTGTGTCTCTCTTCATCTAGTTGTTGATTTACAACATAGGTTGGGCATAGTGGCTCACACTAGTAATCCTAGCACTCTGGAAGGCCGGGCAGGAGGATCCCTTAGTTCAGGAGTTCAAGACCAGCCTGAGCAAGAATGAGACCCTGTTTCTACTAAAAATAGAAAAATTAGCTGTGTATTATGGCAGGCGCCAGTAGTCCCAGCTACCTGGGAGGCTGAGGCAGGAGAATGGCTGTCACTTGCCTAAGGCTGCACCCTGTCATACCTAGTGTCACCAACTCCAGAGCCTTTCCAGACCTAGGTACTAAGTTGGGTGGTCCCTCTACCGAGGGCTGTTCTTCCTCTGGTCTGCTGGCCATTCACCATTCTTCCATATACTTTCCTTTTTTATATATTGTGTCTATATAAAGTTTAATTTTCAAACTGGAATTTGTGTTTCTGTCTATTGTCTCGTTGTTGTTTGAGGAGTGGTTTTTCAAGGATAAAAGAAACATCCTTATGTCACTAGCTTAAAACCAGAAGTCCCTAAGGACTTTCAAATTAGGAAACAGCCGCTTCCCGCAGTGGTGTCGGTTTGGGCTGTTTTCAGCTATTTGTACTCCTACTCCATTGCTGGAGAGCTTCTCAGGTTATCTTTGGTTCCCTTGATTTACTCACCTTTCTTCAGTGTTCTTTCAGTTCTTTCCTTTCTTCAAGATGAATTTAAATTTTGTTCTTGTGTGCAGCCTATCTGCTTTTTTTACAATTACATCCAGACTGCCTCCCTGTTTCTATCTGCCTGCCCCTGAGTCTGAATTTCTTTTATGGTTCCTTTATATTTTAAGTAGAGGGTATATTTTATTGCATTTTTAAAGCACTAAGGTGTCTTCCAAACTTTTCACCTTTTTTTCCTCTGGTACCAAAAAATGTTCTCAGAGATATGCTTTCCCTGAGACTCCTCGCAGTGAAAACTCCCTTTGATGACACCATGACATTTCAAAAGGACCATACTTTTGTCTCTTGACTCATTCTTGAAGGAGGTCAAATCTGTCAAGGCCCAGCGATTGCTACCAGAAAGTTGAGCTGCCTTCCACTACCTGTCCTGCAAGGTACCCCCAAAAAGGAAGTGACTTGCACAGCACTTCACAGACATTGACCTAGGAGAGAATGTTTGGTTCCTTACACAAGGTAGAGAGTCAAATGAACTTTGCAGTTCTTGCTTGGCCACTGTAGGGCACCGAGACTATACCCTATAGCAGCAGTTCTCAACCTGTGGGTCACGACCCACGAACTGTATTAAATGGTTGCAGCATTAGGAAGGTTGAGAACCACTGCTCTATAGTATACAACAGAGAGAAATAGAATTGCTAATAGGATTCAAACAAAATAATCCTCAGTATCCAGGGATCTGCCTGAAATTAAAAATCAATCTCTCATGATAAGTTCTTTACCATGTCCTGCAGCAGCATGTGTGGCAGGTTGCTGTGGCGGCTGCTGGCTGAGGAGGCCAGGTACTCCACCCCGGTGGGGCGCCTCCTCCTTCCTGTGCTCCTGGGATTCTGCCTCATGCTGCTGACTGCCAGTGGGCTTGGCAGCAGAGTGAATTCGTGTGCCACACCCAGCAGGCTGGCTGCAAGGCCGCCTGCTTCAATGCCCTTTATCCCCTCTCCCCGCTGCGCTTCTGGACCTTGCAGGTCATGTTGGTGGCTGTTCCCAGCGCCCTCTACATGGGTTTCACCCTGTATCATGTGATCTGGCACTGGGAAGAATCGGAAAAGGTGAAGAAAGAGGAGGAGACCCTGCCCCATGAAGAGCAGAGCAGCAGAGATGCCCCAGGGGCTCAAAGCCCCCTGCTGCTCTGGGCCTACGTGGCATAGCTGGGAGCTGGACTTGCCCTGGAGAGGGCAGCCCTGGGGTAGCAATATCATCTTTATGGGTTCCAAATGCCCAGCATCTTTGACTGCAAAATAGAGGCTTGGCCCTCTGTATTAACCTGTAATCTGTCCTGCTCTTCTAAGAAGACCATCTTTATAAAAAACCATGTGTTTGGGGTCAATGGGTTTTGTCTCTTGTTTACTCTTTTGGAGCTTATGCTTCTGGGTCTGAGAAGATGGTGTAAGACCCTGGGGAACTTCCCAGCAGAATCTCTTCTTCCCACCATACCCTTGCCCTGGACGGTGTAAGAAGCCTTGAGCAGACACTGACCAATCTGCCAAGCCAGCCTTGCTCCTTCCCAGAGCCCGTGTGCCCTGTGCCCCCAAACTCTGGTAAATAAGGATAACATTTTCTGACCTCCCCACCAGTGGATATGGCCAGGTGGCTGGGCCTCTTAACCAAATGAGCCCAGCTACCGCTTTCCCTTGGGAATCTAGATTTGAAGCCAATGATGCCTTCCATGTCTGCCAGGGGCAGGAACAGAGAAGAAAAGACATCTGAGTGAGCTGGGTGAACATTTGCCCCAGGGACAAGCAGAGAAAATGTCTGATGTGCCTAGAGGAAGAAAAATGAAGTCAATGATAAGAAATTAAAGATAGAAGATCATGAAAGCTCAGAAAGAAATAGGCACAGAGAGAGAGGTGGTGACATTGGCAGGAGCCATCTAACTTGGTTACTGATACGGTTCCAATTTCTGATCCCACTGTCCCTAAAGGTGCCCTCCTTTCTTGAGTAGTCTAAGATCACATGTGCTCATTGAATAAACTTCCCTGCATTCCTGACCTGCCACGTGTTCCAGAAAGGCAATGCATACGAGGAAATAAACAGTGGCTAAATCCAAGATTGAAAAGAAAAAGAAGGTGAAGGTCCTTGCCACTATTGCAAAACCAAGTTAGGACAGGAATGGTAGTACTCAGGTGGTTAAAATTTGCAAAATGCCTAAATATTATCCCACTGAAGACATGCCTTGAAAGCTGCTGAGCCATGGCTAAAAACCCTTTAGTCAGCATGTGAGAAAACTGCAATACAGCATCACACCCGGGATCATTCTGATCATCCTCACAGGAACCATAGATGCAAGAGGGTGGTTTTCCTAAGGCAACTGGACAGTGACTTGCTACCTGTGACTGGACCTCTGGTCCTCATTCAAGTTCCTCTATGAAGGACACACCAGAAATTAGTCATCACCACTGGCACAAAAATTGACATCAGTAATGTTAAAATCCCAAAGCATTTTATTGATGCTTACTTCAAGAAGCAACTGCTGCGGAAACCCAGACACCAGGAGGGTGAGATCTTTACCACAGGAAAAGAGAAATACGAGATAACAGAACAGTGCGAGGTTGATCAAAAAGCTATGGACTCACACATTTTACCAAAAATAAAGGCTATTCCCCAGCTCCAGGGCTACCTGCGATCTATGTTTGCCCTGATAGCGTTTACCCTCATAAACTGGTGTTTTACATTTCTTAAAAAGAGCCTTAAATTAAATGGCTGATAGATTTTAAAAGAAAACAAAACAAAGAAAAAAAGACTGTGGCCTATGCCAAGTTGATGGTGAGGGGTACACTTACTGATTTACACTGTCACCAGCAATGTATAAGTTCCCACATTCTCACATCTTTGCCCACACAGCCTGTTGATGGACTTTTTGGCCATTGAGGTGCACATATTAGATATGTAGGAAATGAAAGGTGGGAGATTAGGGTGACCCCCAAATATTTTCAGTGTACCCAGTCCCCACTCGCTATGTCCCATTAACCCTGCTGCTCACTATCTTAGAGCAGAACCCAGATTCTCACATCTTTCTAGCCTCACCCTCCAAATGTCCCTGTCATTGGCCTTCTCACGCCAGTGATGCTCACTCTATTCATCCCTTTGCATAAGCTGCATGATAACCTTGAACTCTGCTGCAGAGAATCCACACAGGTGTTAAGTCGGGAGCCTGGAAGCCTCAGGTATCTAATTTAGGCTGTGAATTCTGAAGTTAGGTGGCCTGGGTTTGAATCATAGTCAACCACTCCCAGTACTGACCTTGAACAAGTTAGTTAAGATCTCTGTGCTTCAGTTTCCTCATCTGCAATACTCCCTTATAGGACTGTTGTGAGATTAAATGCGTTAGTCTATGTTAGGTGCTTAGAGCAATGCCTGGTATACGGTGGTTCCCAGTCAATGTTTGCTGATACTACTGCTGCTTGGCCACACTGGTACCCCACACACTCAGCCCCAGCTCTCAGTTTCTCCTGCCACTGCCTCTCAGCTTGTAAATGTGCTTGTCATTCTCATCTTAAGAAAACAAATAAAACTCTCTTGCCTCTGTGTCCTACTTTGCTTCCTTTCACAGACAAACCTGTTGGAAGCAAAGTCCTTCCTCATTCATTCACTTTCTTTTCTCTCCCATTCATTCCTCAACTTCACAAGTTAACTTTCTCTCCAGCTCAGCACTCAAACTTCCCTCACCAAAGGACACTTCTCAACCCTTGTCTTACTTGATCTTTCCTGGCATTTGACAGTGTTGACCACTCCCCCGCTGAAGTCCTCTCTCTTGAGTTTCAGGCCACCTGTTGCTCCTCTCCTGAGTCTGCTCCTTAGGCTCCAATGTTGCATCGTTTCCCTCTACTCACTCCTTAAGGCTGGTGTTCCCCTTGGACTCCTCTTTCTGGGTAATCTCCCCACATTCATAGCTTCAGTCACCAACATTCATGAATGCAGATCTCCAGTCTGGACCTGTTTTTTGAGCTCAGGCTTAAAAATTCATTTGTTGGCAGCGCCCTAGATCAGTGGGTAGGGCTCCAGCTACATACTCTGAGGCTGGTGGGTTTGAACCCAGCCTGGGCCAGCTAAAATCAACAAGGACAACTGCAATTTTAAAAAAAAAAATAGCCTGGGGAGGGGCCTATAGCTCAGTTGGGTAAGGGGTCAGCCCACATACACCAAGGCTAGTGGGTTCAAACCCAGCCCAGGCCAGCTGAAACAATAATGGCAACAACAACAACAAAAATGGCCAGGCATTGTGGCAGATGCCTGTAGTCCCAGCTACTTGGGAGGCTGAGGCAAGAAAATCACTTAAGCCTAAAAGCCTGAGGTTGCTGTGAGCTGTGATGCCGCGGCACTATACCAGGGGCAACATAGTGAGACTCTGTCTCAAAAAAAAAAAAAAACATTTGTCCCCAAGCCATTTCTATAGGGCTGTCAATCCGTCTGGAGCCTCCTAGGCTCGCAGCACCTGTTCTGGGAGCAGTAGACTTCCCTGGGATCCTTGAACACTGATCTTTACATGCAGGATCTTTAAACACATTGTCAGATTTCCTTCTCAGATGAATGGGACAGACTGCAGCCTTCAGGATTCAGGAAAAATATTTCTGCCTTTGGGTATAGGCTCAGTTGCAGTTGCATGTCATTGCCACCAGAGGACACTAAGAATCCTGCTGATGGATTCTGGGCAGTTTTCCTAGCCGTTTTAAGGACCTGCAGGGATAATGTTTAAGATCTATTCTCTTAGCTATTTTCAAGTATACAATACATTATTATTAACTATAGTTACCATGCTGTAAAATAGATCTCCAGGATGTATCCATCCCCTCAAACTGAAACTGTACTCTTTGATATGAAGACTATTAATGACAATTAATGACATGACGGGGCATGGGGGAAAGGGAGATCAGACTGAGAAGGAGTGAGGGAGTGTGGGCAAAAAATACATACATATATATAATAATGTTTAATTCTCATACAAACTGGATTTAATTTTGATTAACATATATTACTTAAATATCAATTTTTAATCCAACATGTCAATATGTTGTTTATCATATTGCATCCTTATTCATCAGTGAAATATGTCTGTAATTTCCCCTTTATAATAATATATTTTTCCTAATTTTACTATCAGGGGTATCCAGACTAAGTAGAATGATTTTGAAGTATTTCTGTTTCTACTATCTATAAGACTTGGCGTGATCTGTTTTTTTTTTTTTAGAAATTATTTTTTGGCTCGGCGCCTGTGGCTCAAGTGGCTAAGGCGCCAGCCACATACACCCAAGGTGGTGGGTTCGAATCCAGCCTGGACCTGCCAAATAACAATGACGGCTGCAACCAAAAAATAGCCGGGCGTTGTGGCAGGTGCCTGTGGTCCCAGCTACTTGGGAGGCTGAGGCAGGAGACTTGCTTGAGCCCAGGAGTTGGAGGTTACTCTGAGCTGTGATGCCACAGCACTCTACCCAGGGGACAGTTTGAGACTCTGTCTCAAAAAAAAAAAAAAAAAAAGAAAAAGAAAAAAGAAAGAAATTATTTTTTACTTTTATTTATATATATTAGTTGTCTCTTTTTAGACTTTGGTAAAAACATAACAAGGAAAAAAAATTACGTCTCTTTTATATGAACAACATTTTTCTTTCTTTTCTTCTTTTGTTGGCATATTTTAATGAGTTAAAATTCACATAACTTAAAATCTAGCACTTTATTTTCTACAATTCAGTAATAAAGTATTTTCACAAGGTCATACACCATCACCACTATCTCAAACGCAGAACATTTTCATTGCCCTCAAAAGAAAACCCCACACCCATTAGCAGTCACTCCCTATTCCCCAACCCAAGTTCTGGCAACCACTAATCTACTTTTTATCTGTATGGTTTTGTCTATTCTGGCCATTCCATCTATGTGGATTCATACATATGGCCTTTTATCCAAGAACAATCTTTTCTATGTTTAGTCCTACCAGATGGTAGGTGTTCTGCCAATATTTGTTGATCAGTTTAGACCTCTCCAACTAATGAAGTTCTCATTCCTTCAAAAATACATCCACTTTGTATTAAGTTTTGAATTGCATTGGTTTTTCAAGCCATATTTCAGGTTGTTCCCAGACACATTCATCAAACTTTGGTGGACCAAGGAAAAAAAAAATAGATTACTCTTGAAAAGTCAATTCTCCCAAAATAAGCACTATAACCTCTTGTTATTCACTTCTGGACCAACTGGTCTCCTACACTCTTCAAGTCATTAGGAAATGAAAAACATTGATCTAGCAATAAAACACCTGTAAAGAATCACCCTCTTCATATTAATCATACTTTCTGATTTTGAAACTAGGTTCACTGTTGAGACCATGAGCAACGGAGAACTTTCTCCAGACCTCAGTGACCTGATCGTCTGGGGTAGGGGCGGGGGGAGACATCTTGATAATAGGTCATACTCCAACCCCTTAGCTGAAGCTGAGGCCTGGACATGTGGCTTCACGTACGCCTCTGGATTCTATTTATTTTTCTTTTCTTTTGGCTCATTTTGTTGTCCCTGAAATTGGGTTCACGCCCT